TAAAAAAATACGTGTCTAATATTTTTTCATTACCTAACTTAAGAACTAATTCGATTTTTAATTTTCATTCCCTGTCGTGTCCAAATTGTCTTCATTAAAAAAATTACAAATCACAGAATCCAATGTCACACTACTATCCATTTGAATGGAATTCTATGATTCCTATCCATGTCGAAGTAAATGTTTATGTATTTTGTTTACACTAGTTCCCTCCGCTTGTCTCCAAATCCTAAGCCGCAGTTTTCGCTTGGCAATTCAAATACAGCCGAGGTGTAGTGTATCTTCAATTAATTATGTATTCAACCACTGTTTGTCTGTTTGTGCAAACAATTTATGACAATTGTTCTCTGTTCTAACAGTTTTGTTAATTATTCTAAATAATTAATGTGAGCCGCGCTGGGGTTTAAACTATATCCTTGTAATTTTGAGGGATTTATGTTTGTGTATATAGGGGATATGACTAATGATAGGATTGTTATGGTAGTTGTAGTTCTGGGTTGTGTATGCGGTATGGGCGGTGTTTGATGAGTCTGGGAGTTATGTAGGAGGATAGGCAGTAGTATAAAGACGTGTGCTGACAATAGAGTAGGGAAGATTTATCGCTACCGATACTCCTTTTGTGGGTGTGTGTCGAAGTCATATGGACGTCATATTTAACAGACACCAGGCGGTAACACTCTCTGATAGACCTTAACCTTTTAAAATAAGATCTTCAAATGACAATACTATTGAGAATTGATAGATATTAGGTACGTACGTCACCCTGTAAAACAAAACAAAATCAAGACTCTGTTCTAAAATAGAATGACAAAAGGCGTTCTATTGAGTATGCTCAAAAATGTTCAAAAATCGAACGCCGGTCGATTCGCAAACATGTTAGAAATGAGCAGCCGAATTTTGAGTAACATTCCGACACACATGCTACTAAGTGACTAGTGCTCAATAGGGTAGATGCCTAATTTTTATTTCAATGTCCGTCTGGTATATTATTTTAAATTTAAATCATTAGACGTATTTTTTATTTTCTCACGGAAACGAATACTTTCGACGCTATATTGATTTGAAATGTCGCGTGACGTCACTTCTATGTACATTTTATACGTAAAAATGACGTTTTAGCCCCCACTCCTAAACTTTGATTCGTTTTATCTAAGTATTGTTTTATAAAATAAAAAAATACGTGGCTAATATTTTTTCATTACCTAACTTACGGACTAATTGGAATTTTAATTTTCATACCCTGTCATCATCCCAATTGAAGCATTTTTCGTGCTTTTGATTAGCACATGTAACAGTTCCTTCAGCGTGCAATTAACAATATTACTTATGCAACACGGCAGATAGAGGATTAATGGTTTTAATGAACGAGACATTGTGAACCATTGTACAAGTTGTGCAATTATGTACATTCATAAATAAATTAAACTACCCAGTACTTATCCTTAATTAAAGAAAGTAAAGTAATAAATTGTTAGGACTTGGACTGTGCGCAGTTTACTTAGTTGGACTAGTGGTTCCCTGTACTGGTTTAAATTAATTTATTAATTGTCCATTCTATCATTTATTTCTTTAGAAGTTTGACTTAACAGTGATGAAAGTATTGAAGTCCTTATAACTATTTTAACTGTTTCAGTCACACTTTTAACTAGTTTTTTTTTAATGGGAGACATCGAATGACTGCTCCCGCCTTAGTGTCGGACTCTTACTGACTAAAAACCGCCCCGTTCCTACTCCTGCACGTCGAGCCGGAGCCCCGGTAACCCGTTAGGTTCTCCGCGACACACTTTTAACTTGTTACGTTTAATTATACTGAATTGTTTAAAAAACAAAGCAAAAAAATTTGAGTTTCATTTGTGAGAGTTTCATGTTAAAAAACTACTGTTTGAAGTTTTTTAACGTTGCCCGACACTAGGATTTTCCAAGTTCGTACACAAGACACCCAGACCCGGAACAACAATCTGTGGATCACACAGAGTTTCCCAACAATCTCGAAGATATACAGTATCAAGGTCAGAAAGTTTAATAAAAACAGACATAAATGTAATATGTAAGTATACACAGCAAAAACTCATTTCCTCAATGTAATGTATACAGTTCGTCTATTTTCAGTTTCCTTAAGGAAGGCTTTCGCGAAGCAGTTTTCAATTAAGTTCCTCGCTAATGTGTACACATCTTTTATTCATGGGCCGGGATCTACAGCAGTGATGTAAGCAAAAACGTCATAATACTTACTTGATTTAATGGCATTTTATAATTGGTTTTAGAACAATAAGTGTTGTTTAATTAATTACTATGTTTTCGGCGACTCGCGTAACTAGGAACTCGACTAGTTTCAAGCCATACTACAGGTTCATATTCATAAGTAGCATTTCGCTACTCGTGACGCGGTGACTGACGCGTCACGGGTCGCGGAATTGGGGGTTTAATTGTCATAATGTTGTACCCTATGGAAATTTATGCTAATTGCCTTTGTAAAGTAACATTTTTATAATTAAGATTATGAGCTCTATTTGAAATATATGTATAACTACTAATACTATGTAGTTTGGGTGTAATTCAGGTCTGAAAAAGTAATATTGGGTTATTATGTTTGCGATACCCCCGTAACTGTTTGACGAGGAACTCGACTAGTTTCAAGCCATACCGGAGGCTCATCACATCGTATCTGGAGGCGCTGCTACCGTAAACAGTTACGTGAGTTAGCCAAAAAAAACATAATAATTAACTTAGTAGGTACGTCTCACGAATAATATTAATATAAATATTATATTGGATTGTTCAGTTTTTCCAAATATCTTTGGAAAACGGATCACCTATTTTTTTTTTGGCTTAAGCCGGTAAACGGGCCTACGGATCACCTGATGGTAAGCAATAGGCGTCGCCCATGGACCTGGAACACCAGAGGTGTTACAAGTGAGTCACCAGCTTTTTGGAGATTAGGAGTTTGAGGATCGTTGGGATTCAGGGATTGGGGAGATTGGAGAAGGGGAAGGTAATTGGGCCTCCGGTAACCTCACTCACACGACGAAACACAACGCAAGCGTTGCTTGACGTCGGTTTTCTGTGAGGCCGTGGTATCACTCCGGTCGAGCCGGCCCATTCGTGCCGAAGCATGGTTCGGCACGAATGGGCCCTTACCTGTGTGATATAAAGATAAATAAATAAAAAAATAAAATAAATAAAAATATCAGTGAGGCATAACATTTGCCTTGTTTTGGAGCAAGAGCGATTTAATATTATATATTTTTGTATAAAAACATGATGTCAGATAATAAGGAACTTAAAAAACACAAAATCCTGCGGGTTTGATGTTATTTCAACAGATTTAATCAAATGTATATCCCAGTATATATCACCACCACTAGCTCATATCATCAACCTATCTCTTGAACAAGGATGTTTCCCTGATAGGTTGAAAATGTCGTTAATAAAACCGTTACACAAAAAAGGTTCGAAATCTGATGTAAATAACTATAGACCTATAGCATTAACTCTAATCTTGTCGAAGGTATTCGAGAGAATTATGTATAAAAGGGTGCTTAAATATTTACTTCTAAATAAGTTTAATATTCTAGTAAAGGAGCAGTATGGTTTTCAACTCTCCCACACTTAAGAACCTCTTGGGACTTATGACATAGCTGATGAAAAGTCTGTGGTTCACGTTACAATTGACGCCGTATTTTCAAAATCACTCACAATCATCAACAGCCTATAAATGCCCACTGCTGAACAAAGCCTCTCTCACACGGAGAAGGTTTGAGCATTAATCGCTACGCTTGCTCAATGCGGGTTACCGACTACAAACTTATAATTAGAAATTATAAGCCCAGATTTCCTCACAATGATTTCCCGTTTGTCAGTGGTGTCTAGATAATCTTAGAAAGTACATGTAACTCGGAAAAAATCACATTGGTACTTGCCGTAGGTAGGTTTCGAAGCCGCACCCTCATGCTTGAGAAGCGGGCTTAAACCTCCGGGCCACCACGACTCTAAAATTTAAAATCATTAAATACAAAATTAAATTAAATTACTTATGCATGTCTCTTCCGAAATTTAGTTACAATGTAACTGATAAACTAGTACCTATTCCTTCAAAGAGTAACAAGTTTACATAATGATGTAATATCGACCTAAAGTCATAAGCTATACATTGCAATATGCAGTGTACACGTGTTGCGGTGTACAATAGACAGTGACCGTCACATTGTGGGTTCTAGATACATATATACTGTACATATATGGTATATTATACAACAGCTTTGAATATCACACGTGTGATACTAGTATGCTAATATTATACGGGCTCTGGTTTAGTTAGGGCAGTCTCAGTATATTGTAATATAGTAATATAGACTTAGGTAAGGAAAATAATATCAAATGCGTGACGGTTGTTATCATAACATAACATCACGCCTTTTATCCCCGAAGAGGTAGGCAGAGGTGCACATTATACCACTGTACAATATAACACCCACTTTTCACTATTTATGTTATGAGTCCCATGTAATAGGGGGTGAACCTATTGCCATATACCGGACACAATTCCAGACTCCGTGCTACTACTGAGAATATTTAAAAACCCAGTAAGACTTAGCCCCACCCGGGAATCGAACCCGAGACCCCTTGCCCGGCAGTCGCGCTTACGACCACTCGGCCAACGAGGCAGTCAAAACTGTTGTTACCACTGTTTACATATATAATATTGTTGCAAAGTGTATTATGTGATTGACGGTTTTCGCTCTTAACTACTAAAGAGGTGTATTTATATTTACTTGGAAACAAGTGAAACAAGTGAATTTATTTCTGCAAATAGGCTACAAGTTTTATGTACATACGTACCTAGTTTAGTTTTTAATGTATTAAGGTGAACTAGTTCGATGCTTATGTTAAAATAATTAGTTAATTAATAATATTATTTATGTATCGTAGTTTTCTTTTATGGTCCAATTTCCATTGCTAGCTGTAATGTACTTATTGGTTGAAGGTTTTTTTATTTGTCTATTTAGTTGTAGAGTTTGAATAGAAGAGAGAACTGACTGGTAAGTAAAATATTATATTTGTTATTTTTGTACTTTCAAAATTCGTTACAAATCACATTTTAAATGTATTTTTTCACTAAAACATGTTTATAAATGCCTACCTATTTATATCTATATTTTATGTTCGAGTTTTGAGTTCGATCTTCGAAAATAAGATAGGAATACTTATTTCTCTTTTAGTTACAAGACAGCGTAACACAAAATAATCCTTAATTATGATAGATTTAAAGGTCGATTTTTCAATCAACAAATACTTCTTAACCGTAGGAATTATCTTTCACAGTATATTTAACCACATTAATACATTTGACAGTTTTTAGTATGGAATAATTGTAAAATATTCAACGTTATTCCTATGATAAAATTTATCTGGAGTTGGGAAAATCGGCCCTAAATCTTAATTACTAGAGTCGTCTGAACATCAGTATATTTTACGAAACGACACTCATCTGTTCTTAACCACTCCATAATATACCCACAAGCTTCTGTATTAAACTCCATAATACAAAATTCTGAAAAAAACGCAAGTGAAATGAAGGATCGAATTCGCCTCATCGCCCTCACAGAGTATTATTCAATGTACCATGTGGTATAGGGACGAAGGGAGCTCGCAGTCACTCTTCGGAGGAAATCATTCAAGTAATTTATGATTGGATTACCTCCGCTACACTCCAGTGACGTTTCCACATTATTTTATTAGGAAAAAAGCGGTCAAAATGGAGTGGATTCGGAACGGTGGTAACGTTTGGTGTGCGGTATTTTCTTTTGAATGGGAAATTGGATAAAGATAAGGTGATATCATGCTTATCATTTCCGTAGGGTATAAGAAGTAATTGGTTACAATCACTTATTGTCTGCACTCATTCAATTTCCATTTCAGACGAATGGAGCACATAACAAACGCAGCATCGTCAGATGCCTACACCAGCAGTGTGCAGAATGCTCTCAGCGTCCTCACTACTCTGCATATCACCAGCTACATGTGGATGCCGGAAACCGACGTCAAAGGTTTTACTTAATCACATTTGAGTATAAAGTAAAGAGCAAATAAAAGCTTAACACGTTAAACGCCATGGCAGTCACCGGTGACCGACATTAGCGGAGGATTTGCCTTCAACAGTTTTTTATTGGCAGCCAATGCCTTAAATAAGATTTTCCATATGTTGTTTTAGATAGTGCTGATGCTGAGTATGAGTACATAGTGGTGGGAGCTGGCACGGCAGGCGCTATCGTGGCTGGCAGACTGGCACAGAGCCAGGCCAGGGTCCTTCTGATAGAAGCTGGCGGTGATCCTCCTATAGAAACCATTGTAAGTATTACCATAGAGTTACAACTTCAAGTACATTTGCCCTTTTTGCAATTTTCTTTTATTGTTGTACGTCATCATTTTCTGCCAATAACTTTTTATTTCATCATTCATCATTAGGTATACAAAATGTTTCTAAAACAAACATAACATAACATCAGCCTTTTTTTCTCCGAAGGGGTAGGCACAGGTGCACATTTCGGCACTTAATACCACTGTACAATGTAACACCCACTTTTCACTATTAATGTTATGAGTCCCTCCCATGTAATAGGGGGTGAACCTATTGCCATATTATACCGGGCACTTTTCCAGACTCTTACTCGTGCTACTACTGAGATTTTTAAAAACCCAGTAATACTTTGCCCGACCCGGGAATTGAACCTAAAATAATTTCGTTCTATAAAATCTTGAAACCGTTTCTAAAATAAAACATTAAATAATACACTTTCAGTATGCTGGCCTTGCCCTGTACGCGAGGTGGTCAGAAATTGACTACAACTTCACAGTACACACCCAACCTTACAATCAACAATGTCGAGAGGAACCCTACTTCACACTGCATGCTGGTAAGGTACTAGGTGGAACAAGTTCAACCAATACTATGCTGTATGCAAGAGGAAACAAACAAGACTTCCAGCGTTGGGTAACAGCGAGTAATGATGACAGCTGGTCCTGGGAAAATGTATTAAAATACTTCAAGCGAACAGAAAAGATGGAAGATCCAGCTATATTAAATTCACCTTATAGACAATATCACGGTTTAGATGGACCTCTTATAGTAACGAGAGAAAATCGAAGTAGGGTGGTGGCTTACCCTAACTTAGTTCAGCAACTAGGAGGTAAAGTTATACTCGATCTGAATAGCAACGAAACCCTTGGATATTCGAGAGCACAATACACGTTAAAAGACTATCGACAGAGCACTGCCACAGCATTCTTAAAGGCTTCTGATACCTCTCCTTATTTGCATCTTCTAAAAAACACAGAAGTCACCAAAATCATTTTTGATGACAACAATCGCGCTGTTGGTGTAAAAGCTAAGAGAAACAATAAAATGTATAATTTTAATGCAAGTAAAGAAGTTATATTATCAGCTGGTGTAATTAACTCGCCTAAGTTGCTTATGTTGTCCGGTATTGGACCCAAAGAACATCTTGAATGCAAAGGCATAGAAGTCAAAGTTAATTTACCAGTGGGTAAAAACTATCATGATCACGTTGGAGTTATGATTGCCCATAGGTTGAGAAAAAGCAATGAAAGTGCGATGGATGTCGATGTCCGTGTATATCCGACTATTCCTATCATAGCTTATGTTGCCATAAATGAATCAAACAAGTATCCTGACTATGTATTAACAGGTTTCTTCATCTACGGTGATGATGCTGCTAAACTGCCTTTACAAGAAAACGCCTTCATTGACCGATACTGCTCCTGTATTCGAAACACTCTCTATAGGGAGTCTAAAGGATACAATGTGCTTTATTCATTTATTGATAACCCAATGCCTAAATCGCGAGGTACAGTTACTTTAAGAAGTTCCCACTACAAAGATCAGCCAATTATTGATGGCGAATTTTTTACAGTCGAAGATGACTTAGAAAATCATATTGATTACTTACAGCGATACATTAAGGTCCAGGATACTGAAGCGTTCCAGAGCATTGGAGCAAAATTCCTAAATCCTGTAGAAAAGAAGTGTGGTAGGTATGAGATGGGAAGCAGAAAGTTCTGGAGATGTTACATTATGTGTATGATGTCGCCTCGCAACCACGCAGTCGGGACGTGCGCTATGGGCTCGGTGGTAGACAGCAAGCTGAGGGTCCTCGGAGTACAGGGGCTGAGGGTAGCAGACGCGAGTATTATTCCTGTAATACCTTCAGTGGGGACTTACGCTCCGACGATGATGATTGGAGAAAAAGCAGCCAGCATGATAATAGAAGATAATATGTAATTAGGTATTATTTTTTGAATTAAATAAAATTAAAATATTGCAATAAGTCTATTGTTATATGGAGCCTAATTTTTTTAAAATTTATGATAAATGATTCACAGAAGATAGCATTGTGATGGATGCACCCCTTTCGTCAGTTACGTAGTATAATACGTAGTACAATAGTAGTTAGACTGACGTCATATTGATTGATAGCATAGTTTTTTTTCATATATATTTGATGGGGCGACGTTTGACCACTATCTCGCCTAGTGGTAAGCGATCATGCGGCCTACGATGAAGCACGTCGTCCCATAAGCAACCTATTCACTCCGGCGTTGAAGACAGTTAACAGTTGGTGCGGTGGATGGCAACCGGCTGCCGCGCAACGTGTAGTGGGTTTGATTCCCGCTCGGAACGACTCTGTGCGATCCTAATTGTTTTTAAGGTCTGTGTTTCATGTGTATGTGAAATTGTATATTTGTAAACGCACCCACGACACAGGACAAAATCCTAGTGTGGGGCAACGTTTTTATAAAAAAAGACCAAACAATGTCAACTTCAGATTCAGTGGTAATAATGAGAATATTTAAATCAATAACATTTTGCTGTCCATTTAATTACTGGGGAGTCGACCTACATGCTAAGCAGTTGAGCAGCGACCAACAGACCAAATACGTAGCAGTTTCAACACATATCGCAAATTACGAATAAATTGAAAATGATGACCTCGTTTTCTACTATGTACGTTGTATGTATGTATGTCGTTTCCACCTGGTACATTATTCAATTTTAGTTCAAGAACAATTCACTAAACTCATTATCAAAATGCATTCACTTCATTACAAACAATTTGTGAGCGAAAAGTTAGTTCGTATGGTAGTTATACGCTGATTAGAACATTTGTATGCATATGTTTCAATTACGGGAAATTAGACCTTATCGACAGGCTGTTGATAGAGGCTAATTAAATTGTAATAATTAGTATCATTGTAGCTTTATCATGTAATAGTGTTAATGTCTATATTTAATTATCAGCTTTGTTCAGTCACACTTTCAGGCTGGATGTGATAAAAAATTATATAGAAGCTGCATCATCACCATCAACAGAGACAAAGGTCTCCCCTCCCTTTTCCTCCTCCTTACCTTCTGTAGAATCTTGGTAGCATTGAATTGATCGTTACAGTGTCATCTTCTATCTTATCACTTAATACAAATTGATTATTGTTTCAATCCTCGAGAGTCCGAATACCGAACAAGACGTACGATTTTCGGATCGAGTGGAATTTTGTGCCTTGAATCGAGCTATGTACTTGCTTCCATTATATGGGATTTGTACATAGATAGAGAAAGGGGCTTTTTTACGGCATAAGCAATCGGGAATCATGGACACCTGGAACACCAGAGGCATTACAAGTGCGTAACCGGCCTTTTGGCGATTAGGAGTTTGAGGATTGTTGGGGATTCAGAGATTGGGGAAAGGGAGGGGGTTAAATGGGCCTCCAATAACTTCACTCACCCGACGAAACACAAGCATTGTTTATCGTTGGTTTTCTGTAAGGCCGTGGTATCACTCCGTTCGAGCCGGGCCATTTGTGATGAAGCATGGCTGTCCCACACTTAATGTATTGTAGTACCACTTTTGCGTCATCCTTGGCGAAAATATATCAACCTATCCTACGAATATTATGAATGCAAAAGTTTATATGTTTGTTTGTTTGTTTCTTATTCCTTCACATCGAAACGGCTGAAGGCATCGGAATGAAATTTGGAACTGGGTAGATTATGGCCTGGAAGTAATTTCAGACCCTAATCTACTCCTGTTCCGAAGAAGTGGCCTATGTAAACACATAGGCTAATTTTTACACGGCACATATTACACGGAAAGCGGGCGAAGCCACCGGCAGAAGCTAGTAATAAATAAATATTTCATTGTGTTAAAAAATCATAATGTGTTTTTTGTAGACATTTTTCAATTTTTGGTTTTGTATGAAGCAGTTCTTTGAAATAATAATTATAAGTAATGAATTCATTTAGGGTTTTAATTTTAAGGGTTCCAAGAACGTCTGCTGTCTATCCGTTCATACATTAATTGTAATAAAAAGGTTTCAGGGAATTTGTTGTACCTACCATACTTCAATTTACAAAGAAATTGTAGTTTGATAGTTTATAAATCATCTCAACAAACAATAACAGTTCTTTTTTATACCACGACAGTAGCAAAAAATCACACGGCCCACCTGATGGTAAGCGGTTACCGTGGCCTATGTAGGCCTGCAACACTTGGGGCATTACATGCGTCTTGCCGACCCTTAAGGAACCTATTCACTCCCCTCTTGAAGAACGCCATGTTGTAACCGACTGGGAAAACCATGGCATGGGAGTTCATTCCACAATCAGAGGGTCCGTGGGAGAAAAGTCTTCTGAAACCGAACAGGTTGTTTTTTTATACAATAAACGATCATAATATCACGGCATCACCTGATGGTCAGCGGCTTGCCATGGACTCCCGCCACGCCAGAGAAGTCATAGATATCTTGATGGCCTTTAAATGTTACGTTTATCATAACTTAACAAAGTACTCTAGATAAAGTACCCTTCATTACGGGGTGAAAATCTTCGAATGGCTGCTCCTGCCTGGGTGAGGCGGGAAGGAGTAATAGACTCTTACTGACTGAAAACCACCCCGTTCCTACTCCTGCCCTTCGAGCCGGAGCCCCGGCAACCCGTTAAGTCCTCCGAGGCTCCGTATAGACATCAGCCCTATTGGGCCCCGTCCGTGGTGGTCGGATGGCTCTTTGAAACGCGCTCGGAACGCGACGCGCCGTACGCGGTTCTGGTCGGGCGGCGAGCCACCCATGCTCGTCGTACGCAGGCCCGCGCTTACGGTGGCCAGAGAAAGTACCCTATGTGTTATTCCAATGAAACAAATTATGTAGGCTGCTTCAAATTTTATCCTGATTCCTTCAGCTGTGCTGATGTGATTGAGTAACAAATATATACACAAACACACAAACTTTCGCATTTATAACAAATAGTATTATTTAAAAAAAACAATAAATTAAGTACAGGACCGCACTCTCAATCGCCAGAATGGTTACAACCCGTATTTAATATTTCTGTGGTTACAACTGATATTAGACCGGAGTCCAGAATTCACAGTATTTTCCATATTTCCAATCTAAATATAGAACATAATATTGAAACATATCACTGTTTACATCTCCTAAACATATTGATTTAACGACTTCCCGAAATAGGGACCTGAAATCCGTACGATCACCCGGGAAGCGAAAATTCGGTCTAAAATATGTGCCCAAGCTATAAATGCTCCGAAACTGGCCATTTAGAGGATGGGCCCGAATACATTTGAGGTACACAGATCAAGTTATACAATACCAGGATCTCATGGTCTCTCGTTGTATGTCTTTTCGGTTCATGGAACGGTCAGTTTATACCGGTTGTGTTAAAGCCTGATGTTCGGTTAGTATCTGCTATGTTACGATCACATGAGATCCCGGCTTTGAAGTACTAGGATTATGAAGGCTATTTGCTAGAGGGTAGTGTTTTGTTAAGAACCCTTGTCTAAATTTACCATACCTAACCTCGTTTTTTCTGGAATATTTTAGACGGTAGTGATTTTTCAAGAGCTAAGATTTAATATACTTACATTTTAGTGTCTAAGTGAGAGCCATGCTTCGGCACGAATGAGCCAGCTCGACCGGAGTGATACCACGGCCGAGCAGGAAACCGATATGATACAATACTTGCGTTGTTTCGTTGTGTAAGTGAGGTTACCGGAGGCCTAATTACCGCCCCGATATCCCCAATGATCCTCAAATTCCGAATCCTCAAACCGGTAACGCACTTGTAACACCTCTGGTGTTTCGAGCGTCTATGGGCAGCGCCGATTGCTTACCATCAGGTGATCTATCTGGTTGTTTACCGGCTTATTCCATAAAAAAGTTGGCCACTTAAATAATTAAGATTATTATCACTATGTTGCTATGAAAGCTTCCTATTAAAATTTTTGAAAGTCTATATCAGACCACAAATTATGTAGACTGCTACACACAGTAAACAAAATAAAACGGTAATTTAAGAACAGATTTGCTCTTTTAAAAAAAATTACATTGGAATATTATTTTTATTACGTTCCGTTTTCTTCAATCAATAATTTGGGTTGTGCGTTAACCGTCTATCTACTATCAGTAGAGTATTCGTCATCATCATCATATCAGTCACAAGACATCTGCTGTTGAACATGAATCTACCCCCTAATGACTTCCAGATCCGATAGGAAGTAATCTGCATCTACGACTGATACATGGACTACTCAAGTTACCCAGTGATAAACATACGTGGACCGCTCTAGCAGAAAGACCCAACAGCATGAAGCAAGCATTGTTTCAATGTTAATGAAAAATGATGTGCAATGAAGAGCGTGGGCAGGGGTGGGGGCACGAGGGTAGTTGACGGCTCGAGCAGTCAGTGAATGCCTGGCGTCTGCTACTGCCCAAAGCAGTTCCAACTGTTCAAGCAGTCAGGATCGACGTGTGAACTGTTAGGATTACGCTCCGGGAGACCCTTTTGGAAATGACACTACAAGTGCTGCTAATATTTTAGGACATTTGACTTCTAATAATTACTGTATGATATGGAACGGTGCTAGTAGTTGAACAACTTTTTAAGTGACTCTATACAGTGACTGTAATTAAGACGTATATTTTATCCTATATGGCCAGTGGTGGGGGGGTTATCTCTTAGTCAGCAAATATACTCGCACGTGTAAGTGCAACAGGATGTAGGGATTGCTTTAATTGCACTTTACAAGTAGGTAGGTAAATAGGCTTTTATCATAACATAACAATGTAGGGCTTTGTTCATAATAGTACGTACATGTACACACGTCGAACCTGCCGCTGTAGCCTAATGCCATTTAGCGCTTGTCTACATGTAGAATAGAAAACCAAATTATATGGAATTGACGTAAATTTCGACACTTGTCACTGTCATCCCCATACATTTAGATTTCTACTTTCTCTGTAGAC